TAGAAACACCCAAAAGTGGCAGGAAGAAAATGATATCGAGAAGTTGCCCTGGCCGAGCCAATCTCCTGATATGAAAACCTCTGGGCCATACTCGACCGGCAAGTCAAGAAGCAACCAAAAAAAACCAATTTCGAATATCAATCTACTCCAAGTTTTGAAGCAAGAGTGGGCGAAAATCCCACAATCTAAAATTGACGAGATGATTCTCACGATACCCCAAAGGATCAACGAACTCCACGAAGCGAAAGGAAGATCTACTAGATATCAATTAAATTATAAATATATCAATTCATGTGAATATGACTAAAACATTTCACTTTCTCTGAAAAGGTGGTGTCTATATACTTGTGACCACGCTGTGTAGAAAGAGGCCGATAGATCACTAATAACTATGGCTTGATTTGTATAATGTCCCAATAAGGATATTATTAAGGCTAAGGAAGTCAACCGGCAACCATAACTTTATCAATGTATAATTGAAAGGTATTGTTCTAAACTCCTTTATTACTCCCCACAATTCAACCAAGTTGTTTGGTTGCCGTTTGACAGAAACGTAATTATTTCCAACACCGTATGCAAGTATATATATATGTTTGTGACAAAAAGTTTCTTGAGAAAGCAACACTTTAAACAAGTTAACTTAGATTAAACATGTGAGGCGGTGTTATATGTTCACAATTAACGAGAACAAGCTGAAACACTTAAGTTGAAGCCTAAGTGTGACCCAACCTCTAAACACACGTTCTTCCGCGATACAGATGCACGGACTCAGCCAATCTTGGCAACAGACTTTTTTTTTCTGCCATAATTTACAGCCACGCGTATAAGGGATATGGTAAGAAAATGTATATTTTTACTTCCCCCCCACCCCCCATGGCACAGCGGTATGTCTGCGGACTTACAACGCTAGAAACCGGGTTTCGATACCCGTGATAGGTAGAGCATAGATAGCCCATTGTGTAGCTTTGTGCTTAACTTCAAACAAACAAACAATATTTTTATGTAACAACTGATACTATATCGTCTTAGACTATTTTTCATTACTTCCCTTACAGGTCATTACAAGCTACGAAAATACACACCGTTATAGTTTGGCAAATTTAAACTGTGATTATAAACATAGTAATTATATCGATGAAAAAAAAGTGACAAAACTCCTTTCTACTGGCTGTCGCTAAGCCTAGTTACTCTTATCATTACTTACTGATAAAATTAATTTGCTTTGACAAATTAATTCTTCACTGTAACTGTTTTTGACGTATTCATAGTGAAACGTAACTTTATAGTTATTTTAACACGTGATTCCATTTTTCATACACTGTGTTTGTCAACACACGTTTTACAATAACGGGTTATTTTTATTGTAAAGTTAACGCTGAACCAGGGAATCAGTATAGACATCGTGAATATTTTTCTTATTAAATAATGTTTTGTTAAACTGCAATAATTTGAGACGTTCTATTTAAAGAATAAGAGTCGTTATATTTCACACTCAGTCCATGGTATTCATTTCAGATTTAAGTTTTACAGACGGATAACGTTAAACACCAACAGCATCTATTATCATTAGCTTCTGATAAGAGAAAACTACCTATATAGGTTAAAACTAAATACTAGCCCAGTAATTAACGTAGTTAATTCAATATACCTGTTCAGGGTGATGAGAACGCATTGATTAACCAGTTGGCAACCCTAGCTGAAAATGATATCTTATTGGTCAATAACGAGTATATGCGATATTGTTGTAAAACACAAAACTACAAAATGGGTTATCTTTACTCTGCCCACCTCGGGTATCTAAGCCCGTTTTTTTTTTTGGGGTTATAAGTCCAAAGACTTACCGCTCAACCGCTGGTAAGAGGGGGCTAGTTATGTATGAGATATGCGATGTATTTATTCATATAGCTTGTAAATCTATATGTTGCCTAAACTTTTGTGCATTCACCAAAATATGGCTATTTTTGTATGAATCAAATATGTCTCCTGAAGGAAATGCATATTGTTCCCTGTGTTTATAAAGGAAATGATTTATATCCAAAATTTATATCAAAAATTATCTGGGGGAAATGCATATTGTTCCCTGTGTTTATAAAGGAAATGATTTATATCCAAAATTTATATCAAAAATTATCTGGGGGAAATTCATATTGTTCCCTGTGTTTATATTGGAAATGACTTATACCCAAAATTTATATAAAAAATTATCAACATTTTATAAAAACTGCTTACTATTTTATGGTTCAGATGGGTCAGCTGTCGTTCAGCGACTTTCCGCTTATTCTGTTCTTGCTTTTTGTTCTTGAGCTCGCTGATCTTATACACCAGTATCCCAGGAAGCGCCAGTACCATCAAAGGCTTCACCAGGACAGCATTCATGGTTTTGGGCATGATGACTTCGATTGATATGAAACGTAGTAAGTTAGGTTGGTATTACCAGCTTGTCTTCCTGTCGTTTAAGGTACAAACTCACTCATTTTTATTTGCTGCACATCTCTTACCGACAGGATGACGTCATCAAAGTGACTGGAGAACATGCGCCTCCTCTTTCTTGTTGAACGAGCGTACAGAACGCCAAACTCAGCAGCAAACTAAAAACATGACGTCATTTTTTAAAATCACGTGATTCAAAGCTATGATCGATATTACCGCACTAAAACAATCAGAAATAAAGACTATCGCATGCGCAATAGCAGTTGAATCTATTATTTCGTTAAATTTAAAGAAGGCCAAAGAAGACAAAGCATTTAATACAATAATAGATAAAAGAAAACACTTCTACCGTACTTTCTTTCCAAGTCAGTTCAGATCGCCGTTAACGAATAAGTGAAAAACCAGCAACTGTGGGGTTTATCAACGAGCTCAACTTTTGTTTAAAGGTTGTATAGTGTATACCTAAAGGAAAATATTATTTTCACATATTTTATTAGCATGATGGGTTTCTGTACTTTTTCTTTAGTTATTTAGAAAAATAGACAGTAGATACGATCGTGAAAGAATAGCGAAACTTAAATTACAAGCTTGGAGAAGAGCATGACTAATAAATATAAGAGAGCAAACAGTGCTTAAGTCAAACAGAAACACTTCTAAGACATTAATAACACTTACAGAAACAATATTTTACCTTTTGTTGTACTCGAAGCTTCGTAAGCCTCACACAATTGTAATGTCTCTGTAAATGAGCTGTTCTTAAGTAGATTCTTCTTTCTTAACGAGGGCGTTTAAGTTCGAAAAAGTCTTGGTTGCAAAAATAAATTAGTATAACGCTTATTTTTTGTTGGTAAATATGGGTGAGTTTGTTTAGACCAGAAGCGTTGTCTGATAGGTCTAGGCATATTAGAACCACAGCAGAAAAGATTATTTTTTATCTCCTAGCTTGCTGAAATATTTTCTTAAAGAAAACACAAACATACACTTTTCCTTGTTAAGAGGCTCGACGAAATTCAGACTTATCGTGGATTATTTTTCTTGGCATGAAGAGTGATAATCCAAGACACGTGGGACTAGTAGGAGCATGGTGAACTGAAAAAAAAAATTATCCACCAAGTTTTTCTTCTGGTGTATCCAATATAATTTTTTCAATTATCTGAAACTGGTTTTATTCTCTCTCTTTTTTTAATGGTTTCTGCGGACAAACATCCTCGATCAACGGACAAATGATATATTTTTGTTTCTGTGAGAATCACTGTAGTAATACTACGAAATCCCGAGCTATATGTGAACGTTAAAAAAGGTAATAGATACATTTCTAATAATATACTCCCTCGTTACTGTCACCTAAGAAACATATATTCAGATGTATTCAAAGTGTTGTTCATATATACCTACAACTGCATGTAGAAAGAGTTATAACGCAGGGGTGTAGTTATTTTGTATGCACACCCAGAGGTGTAGTCCTGCTGAGTCGAGAGGGAACGCTGATCCTTCACTTCACGTGCAGGGGAAGCGCTGCTACCATATTTCAAATGTAGATTACTTTTGGGTTGTTTTCTTATACATTCAAATGTGGCTAGATGGAAATCTAAATATGTCTCTAACATGAAACACTTTATATTAAATGAAGTTTTATCCTTAACTGAAAGCTCTCTCACCTTACATATATTGCTACTGTACAACTATATACCTCAATGAATTATTTTCTGGATTTCTAATTAGTTATCAAACACGGTAGCCATTTTTAATAATAAAATTAATGATAAGGTGTTCTGTTGCGAGTAATGGTGGTAAGGGAGGTCAAGGCGACCCTTCATTTCTAACTTTAGTACTACTTCACTGTTTACATTTTTTAACCACAGAGACTGGTAAACTACGGGATATTGTTAACACATATATGAACAGTTCATATATCATGTAGAAATAGTGTGGTGCAGGAACATTTACCTGTATGTTCAAATGTATATTTTGATGCAGGATTTTCTATTAGATCACTGTTGCTTCGTACAAGTGCACGTCGTGGAGAGTAGTCTACTTCATGCCACTATACCCATGTATATGCATTATGAAGATGTAACCATTTCTTTATTTGTAATAAATATTTTTCCTTTTTTTTTAAAGAGACCCTACAGACGAGGTGTTCAGGAAAAACATAGATTCTCAGTTATAACTGACAGATAATTCAGAAAAAAGGTTATCCATATGTGCGTAAAACAGAGTTGTCCTTCTGTCTGTCTGGCTTAAAAGAATTGTTGTGATTTAACGAAATTTACTAAAAGTGCTTAGATGAACCTCCAGAAAATCGAGTTAAAATGCATGATAAATCGGGCTATCTTTTTCGGTCCATGTTTTGGACCAGGGAAAGTCAGGTTCAGCGTTGACCTCTTCCTCCCTCTCAGAAATTGATATTTTATTTGTGCTGTTACTGAATCCTAAGTAATAAATAATCCTTGTTACGTTGTTGCATTACTCACAGTATGTTAATTTTTGTCCATTGTCGGTAGTTTTAATTAACATGCCCTTTTCGTTCCATGTCCCATTCATGGGGTAATATTAACTTGTGTATTTTCACTAGCTTAACTTATACATGATCGCACTATTAGTCCATCTTCACCATACAGTTCTGATTAGCAGTCATATGTACACATATACACACATAATCCTATTTTTACATACAAAACCCTTTTAAAATAGAGCTAAGTTTGTGTCTAGGACTGTTAGCCTAGCACTGTTTGGCCTGTAAGTTTCTTATTTATGAGGTTTAGAGGGGAGAGGTACTTAGGACTTGGTTCACCATCTATTATGTAACTCCTTAGTTTGCTCATCAGTTCATCTATACTATTATTCTGCTTCTTTGTATGTACAACCGTTACGCATTCTGACAGAGAATCTGCTACATAAGCATGCGTAGTTAGAATGTTTCCCAAGAAACACCGCGCATGCGCATTATTCACTCGATGACAAACAGTCTGCCTGCGGCAGAGAGCTGCAAAGCTCATTGATGAAGTCGCTACAATTGCTGTATGAAACAAGAAGTAACAACAAAAGGGAAATGTAAATATACTTCATTAACTATTTTGTACAACACAATATTAAAACTGATCAAAGTTTTTAAAAAGGTTTGGCGTTAGGTCGTAGAATAACATTATAAGTTTATTTATCGATAGTATTAAGTACAGTAAAGTTTAGTCCTAACTAAACTAAAGTAAAAACAAAAACAAAAAAAAAAACGTGCACAAGTTATAGTGTTAATTTATCTCTTTATCGAACTTAGT